CAAGAAACCATCAAAATGGCTCATTACACCAAAAATTAAGCCATTTTATCAGTTCGTCACAGTACCTTTTGTTATGTCTCATGTTATCCAATATGTTTATATCCATTACATGCTTGTGTGTGTGTGTGTATATATAAAACATTGGTAAAGTTACCTCTCATTATTATCGTTTGAAAAAGTTTTCTTACTGTAATATACTCAATGTAAGGCAAAAAGTATATTTGTTCAAGTGATATATACGTTTTGTGCCTTATTTATTTAGTTTCCTGTTTAGTAGCACCTGGATAGAAATTGTATTGAACACAAAACTTACAACACGAAACCTTGCATGAACAGGTTTGTATAAACTATTTTTACATGTTCATAACACTTCAAAGTAATTCTCAAGGTTTTTCATGTATACGTGACTACTTTCAATTTTAGGATTACTACTAAAAAAGAAATTTTTTTTTAAACTAGTCCCCTTACTCTATTGCTTAGGTATGAACAAGAGGGAATCCTCAATAGCTGTGGTGCTTGAAATTCTTTTAGGCGGAGCTAGAGTAAATTAATCTATGTGACCATTTTTTCTTTTTTATTAGCAATATTTTTGTGCACCAGCAATACCAAGTATGGGGCGCACGTACACCCGATTCGATTTATTACTCATCAAGATCTCTACCAACCTACCCTCAAATTTTCCATTCTATGATCTGCTATGCTGTGGCTAAAAATAAAATACAGACATGAAAAAATATTTATTTCAAAAGTCTACTAAATATTCAAGTAGAAAAGTTAGTAATGGTGATTCTACAGCAGTAGTTTTTGTATCTGACCTATAGACATAACCTCATCAAATTCACTGCTTAGCTACGAAATAATAGTTTACAGAATAGTAATTCAAGTCAAACCATCCTCAGATCATCAAAAGTAGCATTGTTTCATCTTTGTAGCATAGGTACACAACTTTTCAATAACTTATTTGTACAAAGTCTCATTTATTTTGGCTGAAATAAGTATGGCAGGCCATTTACCGCTAAATCTGTGGAATATTTTTACGGTTGTAAAATCACAAGAAGGGCACATATCCCAAAGCTGTCGTTTTCTTCAGTCTTTGGAGGCTATTGCAAGATATTGTTCTGCACAGTATTATCTACATTTGTTAAAAGATAAAAGAATGACAGGCCTCAACTTTGTGAATTTTCACCCCACTCCACTGTAAAAATCACAAGTCTCATGCCTATCTGTTGGAGTTGTGAAAAGGTATTTGTGCCAAATATGTCTTAATAAAATAAAATATGTATGAGTGTATCGACCAGAAATAGAGGAAGTGGTACAGTTCTAACCGATGGAAAGAAGGCGTAAGAAACATAGGATATACAGATGTCTCCTTGCTTATGTGGGTAAAAGACCTAACTGGTCACATCACATAATAACTTCATTGTGGTCTTGACATTAAAAAGTAGCTCTCTTTGTTACACTTGATGATGTCATCCAGTATTTCACCGAGTAGATTAAGTGATTAATATCTCCACTTTCAGAGAAACTAAACTGTTTGTTCGATATCTGTGCTTTGTGTGTTACATATCTCTGGTTTGACAATAAACTATTTTGTTCGATATCTGTGCTTTGTGTGTTACATATCTCTGGTTTGACAATAAACTATTTTGTTGCTTTGATGGTGCCTTCAAACTGTCTTATACTTATTACAGTGTGTAAAAACTTTGGCTTTCAATCCAGTACATATCATAAGTCAATGCAAATCACACCCACAAGGCAGAGCTGCACACTCACCTCCATGATGGTGTGAAATACTGCCGCCAGTAGCAATGATCTCATCCCTGGCCGCTGACTGCACGAAAAGAAAATCTTTTAAACATCTTATCACAAACATATTTAACTTTAGTATAACTCACATAAAATGTATCACCCAATTTTTTACTTAATATTTAAATGTACGATATTACCAATCTTTTATTAACAAACCTTCACGAACTTGTTTAAGTGACCAATGTAACACTAAGTAATGATATTAGTTACAAATATTTTTTATATTTATTTTAGACAGTGTTTATAACTTATACTTTAACATGAGATGATTTTCTCACACATACATATTTTAATAAAGGCTGGAATCATAAGTGTGGACTTTGTAATTAGTTGATTTGTGAAGTTTACTAACTTCATAAACTCAAAACTGTCTGAAGTATGACAGGTAGAAATATAATAACAAGCTTACTTCAAACAAACAAAGGAATACATATAACAAACAATCTACGAGAAGTAAAAAAAATAAAACAAACATTATGTGTAACAATCTACGAGAAGTAAAAAAGAAACATTATGTGTAACAATCTACGAGAAGTAAAAAATAAAACAACATTATGTGACAATCTACGAGAAGTAAAAAAAGAAACATTATGTGTAACAATCTACGAGAAGTAAAAAAACAAACATTATGTATAACAGTATACGAGAAGTAAAAAAAACAATTATGTATAACAGTATACGAGATGTAAAAAAGCAAACATTATGTATAACAGTATACGAGATGTAAAAAAGCAAACATTATGTATAACAGTATACGAGAAGTAAAAAAAACATTACGTATAACAGTATACGAGAAGTAAAAAAAGAAACATTATGTATAACAATCTACGAGAAGTAAAAACAAACATTATGTGTAACAATCTACGAGAAGTAAAAACAAACATTATGTGTAACAATCTAAGAGAAGTAAAAACAAACATTATGTGTAACAATCTATGAGAAATACAAAAAGAAACATTGTGTAACAATCTACGAGAAGTAAAAACAAACATTATGTGTAACAATCTAAGAGAAGTAAAAACAAACATTATGTGTAACAATCTACGAGAAGTAAAAACAAACATTATGTGTAACAATCTACGAGAAGTATAAAAACAAACATTATGTATAACAGTATACGAGAAGTAAAAAAAAACAATTAATGTATAACAATCTATGAGAAATACAAAAAGAAACATTGTGTAACAATCTACGAGAAGTAAAAACAAACATTATGTGTAACAATCTAAGAGAAGTAAAAAAACAAGTACTACTAAAGCATATTATATGATTTCTTGATAATGAGAAACAATTCTTTTACAGTTTGTACCACCCTTCTACATTTACTCTTCAACACAGATCATTTACAATGACCAATTTATCTAACCTCAATCTCTTCGTAACAGTGGACAGGGTCAGGAACACCGCTGTAATTAAAGGCAAAATAAAAGTAAACACACGCTCCAGCATCATAGGTCTGAGTAACCCTGCATGTGATTAGTGGGGGTAGCCGAATTCCATGGTTTTCAACTTCTCTTCTGATTCTATCCTTCACATTACGACATAGATCAATCACCCTAAAAGGAGTGGAAAACATAATGTGGAAATCTTGTTAACATTCTCCTTACAATATATTAAAACAATGCAACAAAATGTATTCTGGTCCGTGCACCAGGTTCTGATTGGCTAACAGGTAAACCGTGCAACAGGCCCCGACTGGCTAACAGGTAAACCGTGCACCGGGCCCCGACTGGCTAACAGGTAAACCGTGCACCGGGCCCCGACTGGCTAACAGGTAAACCGTGCACCGGGCCCCGACTGGCTAACAGGTAAACCGTGCACCGGGCCCCGAATGGCTTACAGTTAAACCGTGCACCGGGCCCCGACTGGCTTACAGTTAAACCGTGCACCGGGCCCCGAATGGCTTACAGTTAAACCGTGCACCAGGCCCCGATTGGCTAACAGGTAAACCGTGCACCAGGCCCCGACTGGCTAACAGGTAAACCGTGCACCAGGCCCCGACTGGCTAACAGGTAAACCGTGCACCAGGCCCCGATTGGCTTACAGGTAAACCGTGCACCAGGCCCCGAATGGCTTACAGGTAAACCGTGCACCAGGCCCCGAATGGCTTACAGGTAAACCGTGCACCAGGCCCCGAATGGCTTATGGATAAACTATGTTTCTGGTCCCAACTGACTTACAGATAAAATATACACCAGGCCCTGACTGGCTTACAGGTAAAGCATACATAAATGACCTTGAATGATTTCTACATAAACTGTATCCCTAGTCCTAATCGGCTTGTACATAAGCTATAACTCTGGCCTTTGTTAGATTGTAAACTATTTAAGGATTTTCTAATTTAATAGCATTTTAAAAGCAATTCCCTAAAAAAATAATAACATTTTTCTCAAATTTTTAAAACTAATTTTTATGAATTTCACAAATGAATGCCAGTGAAAAGTCAAAATCAAATTTTTTTCTTCATGCTTCATAATCTGATCAAATCGTAAGGTTTCCCCTAAAATTTCTAAAGTCTTTATATGCTAGCATTTTTTTTCCAGCTTTTTAAAAGTGGATTTTATTACAATTACTGTCTTAAGAGAACAAACCCGGTCAAGTGAATAGCTAAGCAAAGTAACTACTGTATCAATTATTCATACCAGAAGACTCTAAGAGTACTATTGTCTGATTTTACCAACAAAATTTCTTTTAAGACCAAGAATACTATCACGCACACTAAATAAAAAAACCATGATGTTTTGGGTTCCGATTACCTGTTCCAAGGGACTGAAGTTTCAAATGATTCTGCTACAACCCCATAATCTAATCCAAGATCCTACACACAAAAAATATAAGTTTATTACTTTCTTTAATATCATATATAATATTGCTCATTAACAATGTATCTGAAGAATTTGAAAAATACCAATGGCTTATACTTCAATCTTTTACATTTTAAATAAAATAAACCTGAATTAAAGATAAATAGCATATACCTGGATTTAAAAAAAAACAACAAAGTTATTACAGCCTGTTTTAGGAAGTTTTTTAGTTAATTAACCAAAGATTTCACTTATATTTTTTTTTTATTCCTGTAAACTCCCAGTGGAGCATAGGACCGTAACAACACCTCACCAACGGAAAGTTGTTGTTCCAGTTACTTGTAGCAGGTTGTTTTTTACGGGGTGGAGTTGCTAGCCCCGCACCCAACCCTCCTCCTTTCTCATCCTGGACTTGGGACCAGACAAAGGCGGAGGTTGGCATGTTTGGTGTGACGGGGATTTGAACCCGCGACCCTCAGATTACGAGTCGAGCGCCCTAACCACCTGGCCATGCCGGGGCCCACTTATATTTTAGTAGGTAAGTAAATGGTATGTATTCATTTAAATCATACAAATAATTTATCATTTCCAATAGCATCCATGTATAAAAAAATAATTTTATTATTTTTTTTTGTAGCAGTATATATCCAAAAAACACAGGATAAAACATCAGAATACTGGGGAAAAAAACCAGCATTAACTTATTATTAAATTATCTTAAGATAAAAATGCTCCAGATTGACTGAACTGTTAACTGCTAACAAAATACAAACATTAAATGGGTTCTGCCA